TATTTTGTGTTTTAATTTTTAACATTCACTATTTGCATGCATGTGTCCGTCTTCTCCCTGCTCTAGTGTAACTGTGTCACCTCTAACATGACACCGAAGACTTCAACATCTGTGTGTGTGGGATTTTTAAATGGATTTTTTTAGTTGACTAGGGTCAACTAGAATTGGGACGAACATCCAAACATCACAGAGGGACTGGCCAATGGGATGTCAATGTCAGACGTAGGTCCCCCCCCCCCAATGTTTGCTGGGGAGCTTTTTAAAAGCATTAAGGGTAGCCAAAATATATATATATATATATATAGCAAAAAAGACTAGATTTTCAGTTTCAATTTTAACACCGTCCATGTACATTTGTGTTTATCTAAAAGATTATTTGAAAACAATTTAACACCCTTTACTTTTAATTTTTGTGCCAGATAAATTGTGTTTAAATTAAAACTACAAGCATCATAACCACTTCAGAATGCCATGGTGCCCTCCTTATATAAGTAATCAAACTATTTTAGAATTGAACTAAACCCGGCAACAGTGGCATACTAAGGGGGGGGCGGAGGGGGCAGTCCGCCCCGGGTGCCACCAGGGTGGGGGGTGCCATGACCTGGTCTGGGAGCTGGAGGGGGCTGTGTGAGCTGTACAGCCGCACAGTACCCCCCCATGGTAGTTAGGGTGCCGGGGCAGCCAGAACAGCTCACACAAGCAAAGAGCAGCTGAACTGGCCGCACAGAGGTAAAGTGGGGGCGGAGATAAGCAAAAACATGGGCGGAGCCAAACCGGCAGCGGGGGCAGGGCTTAATATGGCCCTTACCCGCTGCTGTTAGGAGGTGCAGCAAGATGGAATACCTGCTTCTCCACAGGCTTCAGGGAAGGACTTCAGGGAATCCAGTCCACCTCCAGCCCACTGTCTGTAAGTAAGAGTGTGTGTCTGTGTGTGTCAGTGTGTCTGTGTGATTGTGTGTGTGTAAAACTGTCTGCCTGTAACTGTGTGTGTGTGTGTGTGTGTGTATGTGTGTGTGTGAGACTGTCTGTGTGTAACTGTCTGCCTGTAACTGTGTGTGTGTCTGTGTGTAACTGTATGCCTGTAACTGTGTGTGTATGTGTGTGTGTGTGAGACTCTCTACCTGTAACTGTGTGTGTAACTGTCTGCCTGTAACTTTGTGTGTGTTTGTGTGTGTGTGTGTGTGTGTGTGTGTGTGTGTGTGTGACTGTCTGCCTGTAACTGTGCGTGTGTCTGTCTGTAAGTGTGTGAGTTTGTGACTGTGAGTGACTATATATGTGACTGTCTGTCTGTAACTGTGTGCGTGACTGTCTGGCTATGACTGTGTGTGACTACCTGTAACTGACTGTGTGTGTAACTGTCTGCCTGACTGCCTGTGACTGTTTGATGTTGCCTGTAACCATGTGTGAATATCTGTCTGTGACTGTGTGCATGTGACTGTCTGCTGCTGTCGTGTGTGTGTCAATGTATATGTGACTGTCTTCTTGTAACTGTGTGCATGACTGTCTGTGACTGTATGTGTGACTGTCTGCATGTGACTGTGTTCCTGTAATTGTGTGTGTGAGTCTGCCTGTATGTGTGTGTGTAACTCTCTGCCTGTGACTGTGTGTGTTAGTGACTGTATATGTAACTGTCTGTCTGTAACTGTGTGCGTGACTGTCTGGCTATGACTGTGTGTGACCACCTGTAACTGACTGTGTGTGTAACTGTCTGCCTATAACTGTGTGTGTGACTGCATGTGACTATGTATGTGTGACTGTCTGCCTGTGACTGTTTGATGTTGCCTGTAACCATGTGTGACTGTCTGTGACTGTGTGCATGTGACTGTCTGCTGCTGTCGTGTGTGTTTCAATGTATATGTGACTGTCTGCTGCTGTCGTGTGTGTGTCAATGTATATGTGACTACCTGTAACTGTGTGCATGACTGTCTGTAACTGTATGTGTGACTGTGTGCGTGTGACTGTCTGCCTGTAACTGTGTGTGACTGTATGCCTGTATGCCTGTAACTGAGTGTGTGACTGTCTGTCTGTAACTGAGTGTGTGACTGTCTGCCTGTAAATATGTGTGTGGGGCTGCAGGGATTTTATAGAAGGGGGCAGGGGTTTTGTATTGGGACAGGAGTCTTCATAAAGGGGGATAAGCAGGGGATTTGTGGAAGGGGCTTGTGGGGGTTTTGTAGATGGGGGCAGTACAGGATTTGTAGAAGGGGCAGGACAGGGGTTTTGTAGGAGGGGGCGGGACAGGACAAGGGTTTTGCAGGAGGGGCTGACAGCGTTTTTGCAAAGTTTACAAATTGTAAAAAAAAACAACAAAAAAGTTACATTTTTTACAGGTTTTTTATTTGGGGGGGGAAGGGGGGGAGGGCGAGGGGGTGCCAAGCACAGGATCCGCCCCGGGTGCCAAATGCTCTAGGTTCGCCCCTGCCTGGCAATGATTTTAACTAATGAACCTCTTTTACACTGCAGGACTTAGTTCAGAATAGCTTATAGAATCTACAAGATATGCTGGCTCTTCTGGAGGCTGAGAAGAGATGGGAAGCAACACCAGGCAGATCCCACACATTACATCAAAGTGGTTTGACTGCTTATAATGATACTAGGGCTTACAGTGGTTCTAGTTAGTGGCTATGGTGCACGGATTGTTCCTGTAAATGCAAAACAATTATATGTTTAACTGTATGTGCCACTTTTCTGTAATAATTAGATAACAGTTATTCATAATATCTTTTGGAGAAAGGCTATGCCAATATACTGTTCTAAATTTCAGTCACATTACAGAGATGAACATCTTAAATGTAGCCATATTGGTTCTTACCAAGATTGCTCAGAGCCTGAGTTAGCTCTAGTTTAAAGTCCAGATTTAGTTTTGGCATTCTAAACAAAGTTTGCTTTGGCCTTGGGAAACGATGGTAGATGTCACTTTGATTAAAGTTGTCCAGGAGCTTGGAAATATTCCATTTAAATTGAAAGGGTGTAACAACAACAAAACTCATATTTCCTTTGAAAGGTAACTTGGCCACCTAAATGAAAGTCACCAATAAATATACTCAATCAAGTAAACAACGGATATATAGGAGTCAGATTTACAAGTAAAATAAACAACTGCTATTAGAGAACAGTTTCTGCATTTTGTCCTAGGAAATTAAAGTTGTTAAAAGTTTTTTGCCTAATACCTACATCCATAAACACACACTGCCAAATACCTACATCTATAAACACACATTGCCTAATACCTACATCCATTCACACACACACACTGCCTAATAACTACATCCATGCACACATACTGCCTAATACCTACATCCATAAACACACACACTGCCTAATACCTACATCCATAAACACACACTGCCTAATACCTACATCCATACACACACACACTGCCTAATACCTACATCCATAAACACACACTGCCTAATACCTACATCCATACACATACACACACACTGTCTAATACCTACATCCATACACACACACTGCCTAATACCTACATCCATAAACACACACTGCCTAATACCTACATCCATACACACACACACACTGCCTAATAACTACATCCATACACACACACACTGCCTAATACCTACATCCATACACACACACACTGTCTAATATACACCTACACCTACATCCATAAACACACACTGCCTAATACCTACATCCATACACACACACACTGCCTAATACCTACATCCATAAACACACACTGCCTAATACCTACATCCATACACACACACACACTGCCTAATACCTACATCCATAAACACACACTGCCTAATACCTACATACATACACACACACACACTGCCTAATAACTACATCCATGCACACATACTGCCTAATACCTACATCCATAAACACACACTGCCTAATACCTACATCCATACACACACACACACACACACACACACACTGCCTAATACCTACATCCATACACACACACACTTCCTAATACCTACATCCATACAGACACACACACACACACACTGCCTAATAACTACATCCATGCACACATACTGCCTAATACCTACGTCCATAAAAACACACTGCCTAATACCTACATCCATACACACATACTGCCTAAGAATTGTTTAAATTGTGCTGGGTCCCCCATGTATATTAATAATGGCTGCAGTAGCTGCTGTTTAGCAGAATGGTGAGTGGGGGTATAGAGGAGGTGTAACTCCTCCCTTGTACTAACGTGGTATTCATATTGACCCCTATTTACCTGGCTGCAGTCATCAGGCAAATAGTCAAAAATGTAAACAGCTTTTGGCTGTTGAATCCCATAGGCCTATTTATGGCTAGATAGCTAGACAGACAGACAGACAGACTGAGACAGGCAGGCAAACAGACAAGCCACCAAAACTTTATTAAGGTTTTACGATCTCACTAAAACCTTAATAAAGCAGAGCCTGATGCTAGTATCAAAAGCTGTGTTATAAAAATGCATGCTTGGCATTTGTGGAGATCTCAAAAACCATCCCAGTTCTGCGTTAACATTTTACCTGGCTGTCGAGATGCTCATGATTATACCAGCGAAGAGGAAATTTCTGGGCTGTCATCATATCCACTGGGACTGTCAGTTCATCGTTGATATGAAATGTATCCTGCACAGTCATGCTGGGGTCAAATTTATTATGCCAAATACCTACATCAAAAAAGGAAACATTATTAATAATGTAATGCGTTTATCACATGACAAACCTTAAAGGACCATATAGTGCCAGGAAAACAAACTCGTTTTCCTGGCACTATAGTGCCCTGAGATTGCCCCCACCCTCACCTTTCTCCAGCGCCGGGCTCCCTCGGCGCTGGGGACTCTCCTCCCTCTTCTGATGTCATTGGCTGAATGCGCATGCATACCAAGAGCTGCGTGCGCATTCAGCCAGTCCATAGGAAAGCATTCTCAATGCTTTCCTATGGACGTCGGCATCTTCTCACTGTGATTTTCACAGTGAGAAGCGCGGAAGCGTCTCTAGCGGCTGTCAGTGAGACAGCCACTAGAGGCTGGATTAACCCATAGGTAAACATAGCAGTTTCTCTGAAACTGCTATGTTTACAGCAGGCAGGGTTAACCCTAGATGGACCTAGCACCCAGACCACTTCATTGAGCTGAAGTGGTCTGGGTGCCTATAGTGGTCCTTTAAGTATTCTGAAGATCAAACGAAAAATTATTATATATAGAAGACATATATGAGACTAGGCTATAGTACGTACGGATAGAACAGGCTGTTGTAAGTACAGACAAACTTAGTATCATATATATGATCAAGTGATGTCAATAAGTTTTTAACTTACTACACTATCAGTCCTTTTTGTCATTGTATACATTCCCTAAAGGACACTTCAGATGCTGCACCTTCTTTTCCTGTTTTATACTACCCCCTATCAGACAAGAGAAACTCTGCTTTTGGTGATCGAGCTGCCTTTGGACTATATCAGTATTGTACAAGCGCTAACCACTACAGCATGCTTTTTGTTTTTTGAAATACACAAAGTGTAAAAACACTTTGTTGATGACTACCCTTATACTTTATGGACCTTAAAGGAACACTTTAAGCAGTGGCGTACACACAATCCATGGGGCCCCGTTGCAAAACTAATCCATGGGGCCCCCCCATCCCCTCCAACACCACCCCATACAGACACGTAGAGAAACACAGAGACACACATACATACATACAGACACATACATACACATACAAAGACACAGACATACAGACACATACATAGATACACACACACAGACACATACATACAGACACACATACACACACACACACACACACACGCAGACACACACATAAATAGGCACACACAGAGACACATACATACAGAGACACACATACACACACATACAGACACATACATACAGACACACATACATAGAGATACACACACATGCATACATACACACAGATACATACATAGACACACATACAGACACATACACACATACATAGACACACATACACAGACACACAGAGACACTCACACATGCAAAATATTTTAGTCACCCTCCTATTACCTACCTTTTAGGTGCAGGAGGGTGACTTCCCTGGGGTCCAGTGGCTCAGGTTGATGGGAGTCAGAGTTCCCACTCTGACTCCCTCTGCTTCCTCCCGCGCAGCTTCTGGTGGTTGCTGGGAGGAGTGACCGCGGCAGTCATTCCTCCCAGCGTCTGACATCATTAGAGTTGGTCCAGTCACGCTATTACCCGGCCCACTCTGATGATGACATTCATTTCAATTCATTTCCATCAGGTGGCCCTAACAGCATGGGCCACCCGATGGGCCCCTTCACCTGCGGCCCCAGCAATTATACTGCATGGCCTAGGCCGCAACACATGGCGTCAGGCACCTGGTCGCAAGGGTCCGCAGGGCAGCGGGCCCCCCTGGAGTGACCGGCCCGGTTGCAGCTGTGACCCCCTGCGACCGCGGTATGTACGCCGCTAACAGTTTGATTTCTTACCTCAGATGTGCCAGGCGTCATTCACTGCCATTTATGACAACCAGAAACTCTCAGCTAAGCTCAACTGTGCATAGCTTAGTTCATTGGCTGAAAGCCATTGGCTGACACTCTTAGCCAATGAGCAGGTCCCACACAGCCTCATGAGAGCTAAGAGAAGCTCCTAACAGAAACTTGTGTCTCTCCAAACATAAAGAGGATTGTTACGTATGCAGACCTCAGGCAAGAAGGCAGACCATTAGCAAACTGTTGGACTACTTATATTTGAGGGGCACCAGGGCATACCAGGCACAATAAAAACTATAGTACTCTGTACCAACACCAAGGTTGATCGAAGTTGTTGTTTTATTAATTCGCTATCTGAACTGGGATCTTGGTGCTTCTTACAACCATTATTAAAAATCCTTTTAATTGAGTAGCCACTAAAAGTGATCCTGGCAGTTTGGCACCATGGGTACTAGTTGTCGCCTGCTGAGCCCCACAGCAATCAACAATATCTGTACAGCTATCAATGTGATTAAACCATTATATGAGCAAAAGGTATACATTCAAAAATAATTGGGATGATGTTCCAAATGAAGATGATGTTTGCAGCATATTTACTGAAATCAAAAGCTATTTCAATCAAACGTATAACAACATTTTAACTTTTTAGACATTTTAACAGGTCACGTTACATTTTAACATAGGACCCCTTATTTGATAGCAGCTTCACAAGTCTTGCATCCATTTAACTTGTGTGTTTTTGGACAGTTTCTGCTTGAATTTGTTTACAAGATGTCAGAATAGCCTCCCAGAGCTGCTGTTTGGATGTAAATTGATGCAGAGGTATTCTTTGCAACATGAGATGGTGCATTGTCATGCATGAAGATGATTTTATTATGGAAAGCATAGTTCTTCCTTCTGTACTAGGGAAGAAAGTGGTCAGTCAGAAACTCCACATACTTTGCAGAGGTCATCCTAACACCTTCGGGGGCACTAAGGGGGCCAACCAGCTCTCTTCCGATGAATCCGGCCCAAAACATGACTCCACCCCCGCCTTGCTGACGTCGCAGCCTTGTTGGAACAGGGTGGCCGTCCACCAACCATCCACTACTCCATCCATCTGGACCATCCAGGGTTGCACGGCACTCATCAGTGAACAGGACTGTTTGAAAATTAGTCTTCATGTATTTTTCTGCCCAATGCAGCCGTTTCTACTTGTGAGCATTGGTTAGTGGTGGCCGAATAGAAGGTTTATGCACAGTTGCAAGACTCTGGAGGACTCTACACCTGGAGGACTCCATAGGCACCAGCAGCTTCAAATATCTGTTTGCTGCTATGTAATGGCATTTTAGCAGCTGCTCTCTTGATCCGATGCATGGATCTGGCAGAAATCTTCCTCAATGTGCCTTTATCTGCACGAACCCGTCTGTGCTCTGAATCAGCCACAAATCTCTTAATAGTGAGATGATCACGCTTAAAGGACCACTATAGTGCCAGGAAAACATACTCGTTTTCCTGGCACTATAGTGCCCTGAGGGTGCCCCCACCCTCAGGGTCCCCCTACCGCCGGGCTGGATGGTGTGGAAAGGGGTTAAACTTACCTTTATTCCAGCGCCGGGCGGGGAGCTCTCCTCCTCCTCTCCGCCTCTGATCCTCCTCTTCGGCTGAATGCGCATGCGCAGCAGGAGCTGCGCGCACATTCAGCCTGTCTCATAGGAAAGCATTTATGATGCTTTCCTATGGACGCTTGCGTGTTCTCACTGTGATTTTCACAGTGAGAAGCACGCAAGCGCCTCTAGCGGCTGTCAATGAGACAGCCACTAGAGGATTTGGAGGCTGGATTAACCCATTTATAAACATAGCAGTTTCGGTTTATAAAAAAAGGGTTAATCCTAGAGGGACCTGGCACCCAGACCACTTCATTAAGCTGAAGTGGTCTGGGTGCCTAGAGTGGTCCTTTAAGTTTTCGTGAAGTATCTAATGTTTTTATACCTCATCCAAGGCATTGAACTATTTCACTCTTTTCGGCAGCAGAGAGATCCTTTTTCTTTCCCAATCCTTTTTCTTTCCCATATTGCATGAAAATGGTGCTCTGCTTAATTATGTGGAACACCCTCCTTTAGTAGTTTTTCCTTAAATTAGGCTCACCTGGCAATCTAATTATCACAGGTGTCCGAGATTGTTTTCAGTGATCAAAAGAGCCCTGAGACACAATGCCATCCATGAGTTAAACTGAAAAACAAAATATTTAATCTTTGTGACACTTAAATAGAATTTGCATAATAATTTGGAACAGGGTGTATTTGTATTTTGTAAGGGGCCTTCATAATATTCTACCATCGGGAATTTGAACTTTGTATGACAAAGGTCCTGTGGCCACAAGTACTTTTGCAGGTATCCATTTAGGCCCAGAAACATAATTCCTGACATAGACAGCACTGCCAGGTGCAAATACTCTCACAGTGGAAGCATTATAGTTCTTATTGAATTGCAATTCTTGCTTCTTTTGTAACTCAGATGTCAAATCAAGATGTAAACAATCCAGACAAGTTTTAAGACGCCGGTTCATAAGGAGCTCTGCTGGACTACTACCAGTGCTTGAGCATGGTGTCACATGTTGTTGCAGAAGGAAATTTGCAAGTCTACGATTCCAATCTCCTTCAATAATTGTCTTTAATGAGTCTTTGGTAGTCTGAACCATACGCTCAGCTTGATCATTTGATGATGGGTGAAATGGGGCAATCGTAACATGTCGAAAAAGATTACTTGCCATGAAAATTTTGAATTCTGATGAGGTAAATTGTGTTCCATTATCAGACACAATTGTATCTGGCAACCCATGTGTAGCAAACAGCCTCCTTAGAATCTTTATGACTGTGACTGAGATAGCAGATGTAACTGGAACAACTTCTAACCATTTTGAAAAGGAGTCAACAACTAAAAAAAACATCTGTCCATGAAAAGGGCCAGCAAAATCTATATGTAAACGGGACCAAGGTGATCTAGTCACTTCCCAAGGATGTACTGAGGCTTTAGGTGGAGCATGACGAGTAGATTGGCATGGTACACAGTTCTTCACCCACTTTTCAATAACTTCATCCATTTTAGGCCACCAAACATAACTTCCGGCTAAAACCTTCATGCAAACTATTCCAGGATGTCCTTTATGAAGAGCATGCAATACTCGAGCTTGTCCTGCATTTGGAATTACCACTCTGTTTCCCCATAATAGGCACCCTTTATAGGCAGATAGTTCATGTTGGCGCACTACAAATGGCTTGAACTTGTCTTCCACTTTTGATTTTGGCCACCCCTTCCAAACCCAGTTGAGCACACGGGACAGCAAAGGATCCTTGGCAGACATACAAGCAATGTCACTTGCATGTAACAGAGGGTTTGGAATGGATTCCAACATGAGGACCTCAGACATAGGAGGAACAAGGAAGTCAGGAGAAGGCAAAGGTAATCGGCTTAATCCATCAGCATGTTTGATATCCTTGCCAGGACGATACTTGAACTCACAATCATAGGCATTCAGCATAAGGGACCACCTGAGCATGCGTGGTGAAATTATTTGAGGAGTGGGAGTATTGCTGGTGAACAGACCCATTAAAGGTTTATGATCTGTTATAATAGTAAACCTCCGCCCATACAAATAGTCATGAAACTTTTTTACACCGGACACAATAGCTAAAGCCTCCTTGTCAATTTGGGCATAATTCCTCTCTGTAGTAGATAAAGTCCGTGAATAAAACGCAATAGGAGCCTCAACCCCATTTCTCAAAGTGTGGCTCAATACAGCCCCTATTTTGGAAAGTTCTCACGGTCACATGCTGGCCAGACTGGAAATCTTTCTCATTGACAACGGCGCAGTTAGTGAGAGAGAGTTCATCTGTAGGGCATCGAGCTGCTTGCATAGACCGGCCCGCCATGTCTGCTGGCTGCGCACACTTTGAGTAACCGCCAAAGCCGCCTCACTACCAGCTCAGCACCGGAGAGCAGCAACACACCTTATTAGCTTCAGGAAAAACACTAACCTGTCAGCATATGAGCCCCATGAGGCTGGATTAACCAGATCAAATTTCTCCATGTGTCCCAGAGAAGCCATGCTGGAAATATTTGTAGATAATAGAATTCCAAAAGAAAAGTTTTACTTCCTCACTCGGGGTGATTTTATTTCCTGTATATATATTCTGCAGTGTCCATTTACTGACATCCCATCCTCGTCGCCAGTTTAATGTATTCGCATGTTATATATTCACAAATGGCTCTCAGACATTGTAGTAAAATAGAACTTCTCTTTACTTCAGTACACACACATAATAACATAACACGAGAGACTAACACAACAGAACAAGTGCATAACTTCACTATGCTGCCATCTACTGGAAGGTGGACTGCATAACACCCCAATACATAACAGATAGATATTGCAATCTAAAGGGTAATATAGATAGGAGCAATGGTTCCTCTGGTTTAACGGGTCCCTGGCGTCTGGACTTCTTCCCCATGCAGTAGGTGCTGGCTAATTGTTTTACTGCATTATATAGACATTAGAAAATACATTTAATATGTATGGAAAAACATTCTGGGTTCATGGTGAATTGCCACCAAGATAGTCCCCAACGACAGAATGAGAGCAACTCATGACAACCCTCCATCCATTGCAAACTTGCAAGTTTAAGACTTGAGCATCATGGAAATATAAAGATTATCAAAATGGCTACTCACTGCACTCAGAGGAAATAAGAGGAGCATTTTGTTTTTTTTGTTGGAATATTTTTCCCAGTACACACTGTTGCATAGTGTTTACTGTAGTGAATAAACTATAAAATAATAATAGCTCACATGTGGCAGTTTCCCTTCTTGTTGTGCTTCCAAATTTTTTTTCCGCAAAGACTGAACTAGTAAAACCAGCCATGAGAAAGAAAAAAATATAAAAACGTTTACTTGTTTCCTTGTTAAAACACATTTTTATTTCCAAGTCATGTACATTTTTTTTTCTTTTTCAAGCGGATATTAAAAAGTATTTGGCAAGAATGTTAAATTGGCCTTCTGCATATATAGTAAATTTTTAATGATAAAACACACCCATGATAACTAGCTTGTTATGTACAGGAACAAAAAGCTAATAAACAATGTTTTGTTTTGTTTTTGTTTTTTTAAAGTTTTTCAACAAAATAGCATCCTCTTAACTTCTAGACTAGAGAACTTGGGATAATTCAGTAAAACACTACAGTTGTATAACTACCCCAGACCTTCAATATAAAAGATGTCATGTATATATGTTATTTTCTAATGTTATTTGATCACTGGATCAACCACAGACAATCCAGTGATTTTTTTTGCTGGAGAAGCAGGATGGGTCTATAGAATAAAGCAGAGCCAATTCAGGAGTGTGTCATTAGCCAGTCAATGATGGTTTCCCTGCATAAATAAAGAATATGATTCTTTTGCAGGAGATGACCAGAAGCAGGTGCTGCATTTGCGGGCACTACGAGGAACCCAGATAAGTTGTCAAACTGTCCTAAAGTGGCTTTAGTACTTACAGTGGGACGGCACCAAGGAACTCCTGGCCCCACAAACACTAAAGTGGGCTGTAGTGGTTATGGGACTTAGAGTGTTCCTTTTAGCAACCAAGACATGACTAACAACAGGTAAAAGCTACATGTACTTATTACACAAAAACCTCTTATCCAATTTACCTTTAAAATACATGGCATTGAGCAGCATTAATACCATATCTGCAGGGATCTCCGAGAGGAATTTTGGGATCATTCCCTCTGTTGCTTTTCTGACCCACTCATTAATGGATTCCAGATTCTGCTCCTTGTTCTTTGCTAAATTAAGTGTTTTAGATCCGTACCACTTTTCAGCTCTTTTCATAAAATCTTTTTTAATCTTAAAACCTGCAAAGAGATTTGTTTGTTAATGTATGTACAAATTTACAATTTGGGCAACTATCTTCATAGCACGATACCCTGATACATCATCTGATTTATCATTTCAGGGTTAACAAGTACAAACCAACCCACTCAACATTATATTCACCCAACATTATATTTATAATATTACATAAGATATTTAAAATTATGTGGTAAAGACAAATGGGATCAAATAAGAAAATGTAACTGATATTAGTATAATCCTATTAAATTTATAAATATAAATTTGTATTCAGATTTAGCAAGTGTCATTATAATGCAGCTCAGTGCAGACACAGCCTGGGCAGAAATTGTAAATAAGGAATATAAATAAATACATTCTTTCATGTCTCCTTTTCTCTGTATGCTTTCTCTGAAGTGACTGCCAGAATTTATATTTACATGATATATGATACTTTGCACACCCCACGAATATATATATTTGTTAAAGGGAACACTATCGTCACCAGAATACCTACAGCTTATTGAATTTGTTCTGGTGAGTAGAATCATTACCTTCATGCTTTTTGCTGTAAACACTGTCTTTTCAGAGAAAATGCGGTGTTTTCCTCAGATGGCTGCTAAAGCGGCTTCCTTTGCCAGTGCTGCAAAATAAGCAGCACTGCACATTCAGCGTCTCCTCTGCATGGAGACACTGAACTTTCTCAACAGAGATGCATTGATTCAATTAATTTCTACAAGGAGATGCTGACTGGCCAGGGCTGTATTTGACGTTTGCTGGCTCTGCCACTGGCCTGCCTCTTTGACAGTCTCAGTCAATCCTATGGGACTGCATTGTGATTGGCTTTTGTTCAACACTTCTGATGATGTCAGCCAAGCAGGCATATCAGAGGTAGGGGCAGCAGCAGCAGACTCTTAGAAAGGTAAGATTTTACTATAATTTCTTTGGGGGGACGGGTGGAGGGTGTGGAGGAGGAGGTTTTAACACTATAGGAACAGGAATACATGTCCTACACATGTAATTCCCTTTTAACACCAACTCCCTCAGAATGCCCGATCTGCTTATCCAGTAATTAGCTTTTTGGGTACAATGAAACCAATGCAATTATTCCAGAACAATCCCCACACTGTTTATTATTGGGCCTCATTTACCAACAGGGGTAGCAGGGCATATATCAGTGGCTTATCCCTCACATTTACACACCGATACACAGATACATGTTATTTCGGTGGAATTGAAAGTGGGGGCTTTAATAAGAAGATACACACCTAAGAAAAAGCTAAATAAACTCCATGAAGAACAAACTGATAGACTCTATCAACAGCATTATAATAAATGTATCATAATCACATGTGGACTTCTGACTCACAGATATGTGTACTATAGAACAGAACAGGGCACTGGGATCCCCATCGATAACAAACCTTTCTTAATGTACATGCGACTAGCTATTTTCATAATTGAACTCGTCAGCTCGTGTTGGGTTCTGCGCAGTTGGCTGTGAAGACATTTTACTGATTTCAGATGGAGTGTTTCCAGTAGCCTCTTTTCTGTTTCTTCCCCAGCTCCTATAATGACGAAAATAGGTTTTCAGTTATTAGACAATCGTTAATAAAATGTGTACAAAAAATAAACTAAAAACATGTGCAGACAAAATGTAATTCTAAAATAAAAATGAAAAAAAAGACTCTACTTCAGTAAGCACACATAAACAGAATGGGAGATATGTATAAAATTTGTCACATCCACTTTTGCACCTATTTTGTGCGAGTGATCCATTTTTTTAGGTGTAAAATCTATCTTTACACATTGGGGTCTTTTTCTTCTTTTTTAATTTTTATTTTTAATTTTTGTTGTGCATCAGAGGAACAAACAGTTTTGCGCTGCCCCAACAGCAGTGGCAAGAGAAGTAGTATACATGGTTAAACAGTGAAGGGCAGTCGATATTACAGCACATGTTTTGGTAATAAAAAGTTTTGCATGCATAGAAAGACAATTTAGCAGATAATTACAAGATTAAACGTGAGCAGTTTATCCAAATAATGTCATCAGAAAGACACTGCACGCTATTTGATATATAACATGCTAGGCTTATAGGGAATCGCTTATGACAAAACAATGGTATCAGGTTTAGGTATAAAGCTTGATGTGCAGTTAACTATGACGAAAGGGACATTGAATCCACCTTTTGCAGGTTATAGTTACGTGGGTAGTTATTGCAACATGCTAAACTATGCAAAGATTATAGAGGAAGGTAACCCCTAAGGCTATACTCCCTGAATATAGCTGCATTGCACATGTTAGGACAAGACTCCTAGCAAAATCATTAGTAGAAACGTTATGAAAAATAAACAATAAAAGACACAAAAAAAAACATAACACTCTGAGCCATGTTAGCAGGCTTGTTGATGTCAGAATAAGGATGGCCCTGGCCAGAAAGTCCAGCGTCAGCCTATTCCCGGCTTGGGATGCGTGGAGGCTGTCTGTGGGCTGTTGTCAAGGCAGGAGTTGAGCGTGAAGATCCTCCAGCCCCGGGCTATGTAGAAGACCGGCATCGTGGGGCCACAGACTCGGGTTCTCTGAAGCTCCCCTTGTTACATTGCCGCCAGCGGTGGTTTTTCATCCTCGTGGTAGATGCAGGGGTGGTATATCCTCGGTGGCCTTTAGCCCAGGTGGGAATAATCGAGCAGTTCCAGGTGCTTGACAAGGGGAATCGCCTAGAAGGGGCCCGTTCACCTCCTGCTGCTCTCTAATGTGTTCTTCCTGCTGGTTCTGGCGCGGTGTCTCCGTACCATGGGCCTCCAATTTTGCCCAAAAGCTTGTAAAAAGCATGTCTACATTCAAATGTGTCTTGGAGGGTCATCGCAATTTGTGCCTGGTCAGGCAAATGTAGCTTAGGAGTAGCTGCCATTTTAGGAGTGATAGCAGCAGCTTGAGCTTGCATTAGCAAGCTTGAGCTGCTGCTTGTAGCCAGCAGGTATGTGAGGAGTATGTCAGGGGGAGACCAGGATGATCCCAGCCTGTCCAGAGGGGCCGGGGGGGCAGCTTGGTGCAATTTTCACACCACCGGGTGAAGGACTCGGAGAGCGGCTGTCTCTCCTCTGCCCACACTTGTGTAGGCCGAAAGCCTGATTGTCAGCGTTTCAGTAAAGAAATAGACAAAATTTGTTATCTCTGGATGCACCGTCATCCCCTTGTCTGGGTAATCGCCAGTATCAGTCCAGATTGGCTAGTGGCCTGGTTTAATTGTTGTTTAACAATCCCGGTCAGTGGAGCTCAGGTGATGCATGTCTTATCCACTTGGCATCCAGGCTCCGTCACCCTTTATCAGCTTTTTTGTGTAATGAAATAATATAATCAGTCTTTTTGCCACTTATTAGTCCCCCTTTGGATGATTTTAATTCCTTTCTGATTTTCTGCTCCTTGTTTTCCTGGTGATATTACTATTGATTGCATTCACAAAATAGGAAGAAAAATGAGTATTAAAACTAGAAAAAAGAAAGATGCATTCACAATTTGAAGGATTTTCTATTCCCTAAAGAAAAAGGAAGTCGTTGAGTATTTTGTAGCTAATACAAGCTGCACCACAGCATGATGGGTAATACCAATATTCTAGTAGTTTTCTCCATTGAGCTGAGGGAAAGGGGAGGAAACGGTATTGAGTGGTACTATTGCTTGTCCACTGTGACATTGGAGCACGGCCAAACTCACTGGGGCTATGGTATGCTGTTACTTTGTTGCACATCCTATCGTAATTCGATTGTCGTAATTACTGAAAATACTCGAAAAGATGCCACACACCAAGTTACATGTACATAATTATGCTTCTTCTTAGATGGTATCCATGTTAAAAAAATATGCGGTTGACAATGATTGATGAAAACCTATGGCAAGGACACAACTGCAGCCAAAAACCACAGTGTAGTTTCCAGCGTAATATTATATCTCTTATGGTGTTTTGTTCATTGTTCTATGTGTTTTTAGTTTTTTTTGTTTATTATATAAAATTAGGGGTGGTCCACATTGGAGGTGTGGTACTGAGACATGGGAAGAGATTGGATTTGCTACATATTGCTTTACACTATTGTGCAAATGTTATTTGATGCATGGGAGTTATACTGATTGGTTGTATTGTACTAATATACATGACTCCATGTGTTGCCTGTTATGTGCTACTGCCATTTCAAAAATAAAGTATGGGGGGAAAAAGGTAAAGGAAGACCTGCTTCAGAAATTCCGACTGTGTGACCAGGGCTAGATTTCAACACCTTTTTACTTATTTGCCTTTTTACAACACTAATAATGTGCCTTTTTGGATTTTAAGAGGGCTGCTGATGGGAAATAAATACCCGGAGCCTAGTCCAATGTCCTCTGTAGTCCAGTCAGCCTTTTATGATTGACAGCAGACCTGCAGGAACAGTTATAGAGGGTGTAAAACTCAGTTCTCTCCCAGCTCCTCCAGTGCCATTTCCCATCTGCCCACTAACATCCTCTCACACAGGAAGTGCCCTGCAGGAGGAGCAGGGACAGCACTGAGCGGTTCACACAATATAACAGCTACTGCAATTCTACTATCAATCATAGAAGGGTGTGTACTTTGCACATAACCCTTTAAACTCCACATGCCTGTATCCTAAACACCCCATGTTCCCTAACCCTAAATTAAACTCCTCCCAAAACTTTTACAAACTCTTCACTTGGCCAAATATTTAGCAGTTAAAAGCCTTAGGTATTTCTTTTAAGTCAGTTGTAGAAAGGGGGGCATGGGTTATAGTGTATAGCCAAGTATTATCTGTCAGGGTTCCAATTCAAAGTAAGTAAGTAAGTTTATAGTGTGGATTGAGTTGTATCTAAAAGTTGACAAAGGCTCTCCAGTTCATATTCAGACAGGGGATGGAACATGTATCCATTTTATTCCCCTTCCTTTTTAGTTTTTTGGGGGGATGTAAGGCTATTTTGCAGAATTGGGGAAGAGAGACCCAATCCCCTCTTCTCAAAAAAATACACATATTTTACAGAGTTCCCCAATTAAATAATAGACCAGGGGATCTCTGACCCCCACCCCCATTTAATATGAGACCTACACCCACTTAACAAAAAGAGTGTGTACTGCTCAAACACAAACACCTATGTGTGTATATAGGTAGAGTAATATATATATATATATATAAATTTATACAATCATTTGCCTTGGGAGGCACTATTTAGGAGGCAGCAACAAATTCCATCCCAAATGCCCGTTTGGACTTCCCTGGTGTCCTCACCTGTTATATGAGGGTCCAAGAACTGATGCATGGAATAGCCTTCCAGCTGAAGTGGTAGAAGTTAACACAGTGAAGGAGTTTAAGCATGCGTGGGATAGGCATAAGGCTATCCTAGCTATAAGATATAGCCAGGGACTAATGAATGTAATTAGAAAATTGGGCAGACTCGATGGGCCGAATGGTTCTTATCTGCCGTCACATTCTATGTTTCTATGTTCGTGTAAGTGTGAGTCTGTCAGTAAACATATGTGTTGGTTAAATAGTGTATGAGACAATGACTGTCTATCAGTGAGTGTACGTGTATCAGTGAGGGCATGTTGTCTGTCAGTGAAAGTGTGTTTTTGTTAAACAGTGTGTGTGCCAATAAGTGAGTGTATGGGTCAGTGAGAGTGTGTCTGTTTAAAAGGATTTGGTACGTAGAGGTGGTGTTTTAGGTGGAAATGATGGAGCCCAAAAAAGGAAGGGGTGGGTCTTAATCAGGATGAGGTGCTCCCTTGGCAGGAAGGTTTGGGGTAAATTTAGATTAGGGGGTGTCTAGGTGTTCTTATGCCTAGGGTAGCACAAAACCAAAATACACCACTGACAGCAACCATTATCTCAACAACAACCATTATTACAATGGTCCATCACTGACACCTAAAATCCATCGATCCTCAACTTCTACTCATAGAAATAGGCTCCAAAAAACACCAAAAACACCAGCAATCAGTGTATTATGACATTGACCATAACACTTAATATTTACCTGCTCTTGATATTCCAATTATTTCCAATTTACTTTTACACAGATTAGCAATGATCTCTCTTCTCCTCCTCTTTATTTAGTTATATTTGAAACGACCCGTCAGGGCAAATTAGATGGTTTACTAGAAACAGGACTAACTAGTCATGTCTAAGACATAATTTCGAACAGTTTTTTTTTTAACAATTAAAACAGGTTTTTTTTGTTTTTGTTTTTATAAATTTCTACAATTTTTAGGTATAGAAAAGGTAACTGGAAACATAGTACAGATTGAGTTTGACGTTAAGTCAGAGATTGAGCAAGCTGTCTGCACTGAGATCGGCCTATATAGTGTTGAGAAAACGAGAGGTAACAGAGATTAGGTGGTCTGAGTGTTTCCCATAGTTGGCCACCACGTGGCAGGTGAGAGTGGGTGAGTGGTCAGAGGTACACAACACAACAGCTGATTAAGA